TGGTGTAGGTGTGGTAGGTGGTGTGATGTAGTTGTGGTAGGTGATGGTGGTGGTTAGTGAGGTAGGTCAAGAGAGTTGGCAGCAAGATAATGGTTAACGACGTGAAGTTGGTAGAGGAGGGAGGGAGGAGGGAGGGAGGAGGGAGGGAGGAAGGAGGGGAGGGAGGAAGGAGGAGGAGGAGGGAGGAAGTAATATATTGTGTGGAAGGAACAGGGGTGGTCAGGAGGGAGGGAGGGAGGGAGGGGAGGGAGGGGAGGAGGCGGTTACACTACTTCTGTAATTATGAACTAAACCCTGACACGATCATCTCCCTCCTCGCACGTGTGTGTGTGTGTGGTGTCTGTCTGTCTGTCTGTCTGGAGCGTCACCATGACATGTCTCCCTTTTTGGTTTTCTGAGTCTACTGCCAAGCCATTCGTCTGTCTGTCTGTCTGGCTCACCACCTGTTCCTGTCTAAATACTAATCATCATATTACCCCTTTCCTGTCAGTTCTGTTGTCTGTCTGTAGTGTCCTATCTAACTGTCTACATGCCTCTGTGTCTGTCTGTCTGTCTGTCTGTCTGTCTGGCTCACCACCTGTTCCTGTCTAAATACTAATCATCATATTACCCCTTTCCTGTCAGTTCTGTTGTCTGTCTGTAGTGTCCTATCTAACTGTCTACATGCCTCTGTGTCTGTCTGTCTGTCTGTCTGTCTGTCTGGCTCACCACCTGTTCCTGTCTAAATACTAATCATCATATTACCCCTTTCCTGTCAGTTCTGTTGTCTGTCTGTAGTGTCCTATCTAACTGTCTACATGCCTCTGTGTCTGTCTGTCTGTCTGCCTACCATTTACTCTCTTAAATCCATCTATGTCTGTCTACATCGCTCCATGGCTGTCAGTTAACTGTCTAAATGGAACAAATACTCGTATTGGGTGTGTGTGTGTGTGTGTGTGTGTGTGTGTGTGTGTGTGTGTGTGTGTGTGTGTGTGTGTGTGTAAAAAGTGTGTCGTCAAAGAAACTAATTATAAGGCATCAACATAATAATAATAATATAACAATAATAATAATAATAATAATAATAATAATAATAATAATAATAAACGGAAAATAAAGATTCATTTCTTTTGGTAGCACACATCTCCTCCCTCCACCCCTCCACCTCTTACCCTCCTCCCCTCTATCAACAAGGTGTATATTCTGAAGGACACTCAGGTGACTTATCCCTTCCTTACCTGAAATTCATAGTAAAACCTGTGACTGGTGAGGGAGAGGGGGGGTAGAAGGGGAGAGGAGGGAGAGAGAGGGGTGGGGAGGGGTAGTCGGCGCTGAAAATAGAGATTCGTTTTACGCAGCACTAACAACTTCCCCCCTTTGATCTTCCCCGACCACACACACACACACACACACACACACACACACACACACACATTCACCTTACACTAATAAATAAATAAATATTACAAATAAATAATAAAATTAATAAACAATAAAACAAATAATTTACCTCGAGGATAATTAACCTGGGTGTCTCCTACCTGGTCAACTCTCCTACCAACACATGCAGTAAGGAAATAATTAGCTATTTGTACTAATTAACGAGGTCCTCATATCACCTGTGCTGAGGTAATTATCCAGGTAACAAACCATACCACCGCTCCCCCCCGACCCCACCCCCAACACGTATACAATGACAAAGGCCGAGAAAACTACTATACCGCTTTAAAGTGCTTCCTGAGAAAATAAAACTCCGCCTGGTGACATCATTTATCACACCAATATTAACTTACCCAGCAGTACCTCTTCATACTATGAGCACCAATCAAATGTTAAAATTACAGGTGGTTCAAAATGAAGCCCTAAGATTCGTCACAGGTGAAAGATACCCCTTCACCAGAACCACAGCCGAGATACATAGAGACCTGAGAATGAAACCCATCAACCAGCAGCTGCTCACCCTGGCCAGCAGAATCTGGCAAAAGATAGAACGATCAGAGCAAGAACTCCTTCAAAGACTCCCACCAGATACCGACAACAACCATACATGGTTCCCAAAAAGTTACCAAATCTCAAAAGGTCCATTACCACCCCCGATCTAAACGGCCAGGCAATAGACAACCTCCCTAGACCAGCATCCGCCAGTAGGGTCGGCGGAATATGAAATAAGGCCCTTAAAACACCCATATATGGGACAGGGTAGGATGTCTAGTGCCTGTACCGACAGACAATAACTAACCCAGGACACAACCCGAACACACTATTAGCTTAGCTAGGCAGTCAGCCCGCCCTCTCTTACCTCCTCCTGAATTTCATCAATTTCCGAACTATAACTTCCTTCCCCCACCTCTAATCTTCCTTCATTCCTCCTTTCCCTACAAAAAAACAAAAAAACAAAGGCGCATTGAGGAAAAAAAAGAGAACATGTGAAACTTGTTCTGCCCTCACGCGCCCCCCACACACACGAGGTTGTTGACTGCATGGGTGGCAGGTAAACACTAAAAAAAATAAATATGTTGAGTTTATGTACGAGACAACAGGAGTCAATAGTGATCATTATGTAACTCATCGACCAACTCCCACAAACATTATTACGATTTATCTATTAAAGCTCTAACACCCCCCCCCCTCCCTCCCTCCCTCCCCCATAGTCAAAATAAACAAAGTGGAACCAAAGACTCCTAAGAGGTGAGTGCTGCAGCCCACTCCGCCACGGCACAACCTTAAGAAATATGGTGCAGCAGTGAAGGAAATAATTAAGGGGAAGGAAGGAAGGAAGGAAAGAAAGAAAGAAAGAAAGAAAGAGATTAAAAGACGTAAATAAAACGTTGGTGAGGATAAAAGTGAGAGAGCAAGGGTGAGGAGGGGTGGAGGGGTGAGGGGAGGGGTGAGGGTGAGGGAGGAAGGGTGAGGTGAGGAGGAAGGGGTGAGGAGGAGGACGGGTGAGGGTGGGGTGAGGGAAGGTGAGGGTGGGGGTGAGGGAAGGGTGAGGGTGGGGTGAGGGAAGGGTGAGGGTGGGGTGAGGAAGAAGGAAGGGTGAGGTGGGGTGGAGGAAGAAGGAAGGGGTGAGGGTGGGGGTGAGGAAGAAGAAGGGTGAGGGTGGGGGTGAGGGAAGGGTGAGGATGATGGGGGGAGACATAAGGAGAGAGGTGAGGAGGAGGGTATGATGAGGGAGGAAAGATGAGGGAGGAGTGAAAGGTGAGGGAGGAGTGTGAATAAAAGAGAGAAGAGAGGAGAGGAAGGAGAGGGTGGAGGGAGAGGGAGAGGGGTGAGAGGGAGGGGAGGGAGGTAGAGCATGAGGCAGCCAGGAGGAAGAGGAGGAGAGGGTGGTAGAGAGGAGGAAGGAGGAGGGAGAGTGATTCATGACCCTGTAACCAAGAGTGACCGAGACTGACACTAGTGAAATAAAATATAAACTCCCCCCTCTCTCTCTCTCTCTCTCTCTTTATTCTCTCTTTATCTTTGTCTCCTGCATTCTCATTTAATTCTCTCTCTCTTATCTACATGATCCCTTTACATAGATGATGGTTGTCAGCTGTCAAGAGTGTCCAGGGAGTTTTGTCCACAACTGCACAACACCAAGTCCCATAAGCTTGTCCAGAGAGACGAGAACAGTACAGTGCAGTAGTTAAAATCATATATTGTTTTACCCTTGTGTGTGTGTGTTAAGATGTTAAGTGTTCTAAAGAGACTTAATACTGATAAACACAATGATAATAATAATAATACCGGAAATAATAATGTAACAAGCAAAACAAGAGACAGTCAACTATAATCCGTCTTACTCGGATTTCTCTGGATTCTCGAACGCTCAGTTTATTTACATTCTATGAAATTTTATCCTCTAGACATAATATAACTTATGTCTGCCAGTAAACCGTGTTGGCTATAATGTTCTCGTGTTATATTATGAGTTAGTTGGGAGATGGAGTTAATAATACACTTGTAATATACTGATTAATAGTGGTAAAAGGTGATATATAACCAATACTTGGACACACACACACACACACACACACACACACACACGCACACGAGATACAACCATTACCCAACCCGGAAAAAAGCTTCTATTTCTATAACACTGAGACCGGGAATTAATATCAACAGACATTGAACGGATGTCAGAAGAACAGAGGAAGGAAGGAATGAAGGCAGGAATGAACGAAGGAAGGAAAGACGGAACAAAGGGAGGAAGGAATGAACTAACGAAGGAAGGAAGGAAGGAATGAACGAAGGAAGGAAAGAAGAAACAAAGGAAGGAAGGAAGGAATGAACGAAGGAAGGCATAAAGGAAGGAAGGAACGAAGGAAGGAATGAACGAAGGAAGGAATGAACGAAGGAAAGAAGGAATGAACGAAGAAAGGAAGGAAGTGGGTGAAGGAATAGGAGGGAAAAAAACGACAAACTCTTATCAAGATTTTGAAGAATTTGTTTATTTCTTCAGTATTTTTTAGCGGTATTTTTTTTATATATTTTTTTTTATTTTTTTACAGATGTCGTCCCACCCTTAAGGGCTTCTCACTTCCCTCTACCTCTCACCCCCCTCTACCTCTCACCCCCCTCTACCTCTCACCCCCCTCTACCTCTCACCCCCCTCTACCTCTCTCTCCCCTCTACCTCTCACCCTCCTCTCCCTCTCTCTTCTAACCTCAGCCATATGCTTCTCTACTATCAAGCTACAACAGTCATTATTAACCCATTTATATCCCTTAAACCCATTAGAATATCTCCTTTATATCTCATTCTGTCATTAAAAATATCAAAACTTTCTCCCCAATATATATAAACTGTGAGGTATCATCAGTGTAGAGTTCGGTAAGCTTCAACCATGTACTTGCTTCCTTCCTTCCCTCCCTCCCTTCATGGCCCTCCCTCCCTCCGCTTCATGGCCCTTCCTTCCCTTCATGGCCCTCCTCCATGGCCCTCTCTCCTCCGCTTCATGGCCCCTCTCCCCTCTTCACATGGCCCTCTCCCTCCGCTCTCCCTCCGGCTTCATGGCCCTCCCCCCCATGGCACACCATCTCGTAGACAGAGTGGCACTTCTTAGGCAGGCTTGGCACTGGCTCCGGTTTAAGGAACCCGACCCAGCCAAAATCATAGTCCATCCCGTCCGCTCGCTGGCTCTCACACAGGCCTAGTGGATGCATCTGTGGGTGAGAGACGGAGGTACACGTGTGAGAGAGAGATTATAACACACACACACAAGTAGACATATGTAAAGTCTCGTTCAAGATTCTTCCAACACTCCTGAAGACAGCTGGCAACTCAAGGCTGTTTGTTGACTATAGTACGTAGTATAATATAATACCAAACAACAAAGCCCAACCATTAATTAAACAACGGGGAACTAAGTAACCAATCACCGATAACATTTTACATTTATTCATAATTTATACTACATACTATAGTAAACAAACTGCCTTGAGTTGCCAGCTGTCTCCAGGAGTGTTGGAAGAATCTTGAACGAGACTGTACATGACGATAGACTAAAGTAACTAATAATAATGATGATGATACAATACTACTAATAAAACAACAATAATAATAATAATACAGTAATAAAAATAATAATAATAATAATAATAATAATAATAATAATAATAATAACAACAACAACAATAATAATAATAATAATAATAATAATAATAATAATAATAATAATAATAATAATAATAATAATAATCATTAGGTAATACACACAGTTTGCTTGCCGTCTGTCTAGTAAGCAGCTAACCTAACCTAACCTAACCTAACCTAACCTAACCTAACCTAACCTCAGACATATCATACACTCGGGTTTATTAATACCAGACGGTTTATTTTTTTATGGTTTAGGTTAAGTTTATTACCGTTTTATATTTAGAAGTCAGATTAATTAATGTATTGTAGGTGAGGGTTGGTGACCACGGCCCACCACTCTCTCTCTCTCTCTCTCTCTCTCTCTCTCTCTCTCAACACCACTCATCACCAAGACAACCTCGTTAACATGCCACTGTGGTAGTTAAAAGCCTCTGCGTGCACCTTAATGACGGTGTTCCTAGAGGTGATAATTGCCTGCCCACGGGAAGGTAGTTGAAACCCTGGTCGTTAGAGGTTTAAGAAGGTAGTTTGGGTAATTAGGTGTCTTGTCTGGATTAGGTTAGGTTAGGTTCTCTCTCTCCTCCCTCTCATTCTCTCCCCCTCTCTCCTCCCTCTCATTCTCCCTCTCTCTCTCCTCCCTCTCATTCTCTCTCCCCCTCCCTCTCATTCTCTCTCCCCCCTCCCTCTCATTCTCTTACCATTCCTGTCTCTCGGAGGGCCATCGGTGCCACGGGACTGGAGAGAGAGAGAGAGAGAGAGAGAGAGAGAGAGAGAGAGAGGCAGTGATAAGGTGGCACCGTGAGCCTGCTAGAGTCATCACGGCTACACTGCCTCCCTCTCTTTCTGCTCGCTCGCTCTCTTTCTCGCTCGCTCTCTTTCATTCTCTCTCTCGCTCTCTCTCTCTCTGCTCTTTTAATTTCTCTTTCTCTCTCGCTCTGCTCTCTCCCTCTCTCGCTCTGCTCTTTGAATCTCTCTCTCTCTCACTGTGCTTTCTTTCATTCTCTCTCACTTTCTCTCCCCTGTATCTACCTACCTACCTACTACCCTACCTCTCCTCCTCCTCCTCTCCCTCATTAACCACCATGGTACCAGGCAGTGTTGTTTATGGGCCACCTATCACCACCACCACTATCACCCTCCAACACCACCACTATCACTCTCCACCACCACCACTATCACCCTCCACCACCACCACTACCTCCACCACCACCACCATCACCTCCAACACCACCACTATCACTCCACCACCACCACTATCACCTCCAACACCACCACTCACCCTCCACCACTATCACCCTCCAACACCACTCTGTCACCCATATTAAACCATTACCACCCATATTAAACCTCTGACACCCATATTAAACCCCTGCCACCCATATTAAAACCATTGCCACCCTATCTAAAAAAAATCTCTCAAATCCTGCCCATTCCAGAGTGGGCGGCCTGGCCAACAGACACGTGGTAAAGGTTCCTCCTCCGGCGCCAACAACATTACGGTGGGCGGCAACGTTTATGGGTGGGCGGGCGGCGTCTGGTCGGCACGCCTGTTCCTCTCCTCCTCATCTTAACCCCCTAGTTTTGTCCCCATCCCACCTCTCCCCCTTCCCCAATTTCTCTCCCCCCTCACCAATACACAGTCACTGCTTCACTGTATACACCTGTGGCACTGTCCTGTCACATCACAAAAGGCACTATCTTGTCACTGTACCACTAGTCACCATAAAGCCACATCATATCACCATAAAGCCACACCATATCACCATAAAGCCACACCATATCACCATAAAGCCACACCATATCACCATAAAGCCACACCATATCACCATAAAGCCACACCATATCACCATAAAGCCACACCATATCACCATAAAGCCTTGTTGACATACACAGGTACACAATGAACCTTACCTATGACGTCATAATTAAGCTTACAGGTAACACTATTAATTCAAAGGGTTAAGTTATCATCAATTAACGGGCAGTACACGCAACACAGGATGATTACAGGGCAGCACACGCAACACAGGATGATTACAGGGCAGTACACGCAACACAGTAGGAAACAGCAACTCCCGCAACACAAGACAAAAAACCTAGAGTGTGTTGTCAAGGTTTGGAGAATCAGTCCATGACAACGGCAACAAAAGCGTGTGTTTTATACCTGATTACGGATACCAGGAGGAGGAGAAGGAGGAAGAGAAGAAGAAGGAAGAGGAGGAGGAGGAAGAAGAGGAGGAGGAGGAAAAAGAGGAGGAGGAAGAGGAGGAAGAAGAGGAAAAAGAGGAGGAGGAGGAAGAAGAGGAGGAAGAAGAGGAGGAGGAGGAGGAAGAGGAAGAGAACTTGGAGAGATACCAGGTAAAACAGACAAGACACCTTCCTGAAGACAGCTCATCCCCTGCCAGTATATCATTACCAACACCTCTCACCACTCCCCTCTCTCGCTGGGATTTCTCTCTCACACTACCAAGGAAGCAGAGGTGTGAGGTGGCCAACTGAGGAGAAATTCATCAGGGTAGAGAAGGTGTGTGTGTGTGTGTGTGTGTGTGTGTGTGTGTGTGTGTGTGTCCTTGAGCAGCCAGCAGGTGAGAATGTACATGAATGAAGCATGGTCTGATGAGGTTACCTGGTCATGACTTGATACCTGGTTTCCTCCCTCCCTACCCACCACACCTCCTCCCTACCTACCACCTCCTCCTCCCTCCTACCTACCACCTTCCTCCCCTCCCTACCTACCACCTCTCCCTCCCTACCTACCACCTTCCCTCCTCCCTACTCACTACACCTTCCCTCCTCCCTTTACTAACCTCCCACCTCCCTTTATTGAATCTCCCACTCCCTGCTAACCTCCCAACCTCCCCTGCTCTGTCTCACTCACACCACACCTGGGGATGACTGTGTGTGTGTGTGTGTACCTGAGGGAAGAGAGGAACACCTGCCATGGGGGGTGAGGAGGAGGAGAGAGGGGAGAGAGGGTTAGATGACGACAGAGATTAACACAAACACACACACACACACACACATCCAGCCTACTCTGTGAAGACTTTGTTTTTGAGTGGGCATTTGCTAGAATCCATCAGTCAATTGATCCACAGCAATTTGGCAATATGAGGACCTCCTCTACATCACACTGCTTAGTTAGTTTTCTGGATTTCCTGCACAAAAACCTGCAGAAACGTAAGACATCACTGGCCGTTGCCCTTGTTGACTTCAGGAAGGCTTTTGACCTTGTTGATCACTGCACTGTTATCAACAAAGCCATTGCACTAGGGCTGCCCACCAACCTGGTCTCATGGCTCACTGATTTCTTGAGTGGACGTCGCCAGGCAGTGAGGTGTCAGGGCTTGGTCTCTACATTCCAACACCTCACCTGCGGTGTTCCCCAGGGGACCAAGATGGGACCACTGTGCTTCCTCATCCTGATCAACGACGCTCTTTCGGACACTCCTCACAGGTGGAAGTACGTGGATGACTGCACTGTGGGGGTTACAGTGGACACCACACCAGACTACTCATCGCTACAAGGCACCCTGGACAGGCTACAGGCATGGACTACGGAGAACAAGGTCACCATCAACCACACCAAAACCGTAGTCACGCACATCAATACCGCCACCACTCCAGTGCAGGCTCCAGCAGTCACAGTGGGTGCCCATCCTCTCCAGTTAGTGCAGTCTGCCAAACTCCTGGGTGTTATCATAGACCACAAACTGGACTGGAAGGCCCATGTAAACAACACAATTAAGGCAGCCCCGTACCGACTCTACATGTTTCGACTACTCAGGTCACTTGGGACACCCACGCCAGAGCTGAGGACCATCTACAACGCCTTTATTCTCCCCAAACAAACGTATGCGTCACCAGCCTGGTCGTCTTCTCTCAACTCCACCCAACAACGTCGGCTAGAGAAGGTACAGAAAAGGGCCTGCAGAATCATGCTCGGCGCACACTACTCCGGCTACATCAACGCTCTCTCCACCCTGGAAATGCCATCCCCTAGTGACCTCCACCACCAAGCACTAGCAAGGTTTGGCAGTGGACTACTGCACCATCCTCGTCATCGCCACCTCCTGCCACCGGCAGTCCCCCACCCACCTCGCGCAGTCCACCACTACAACAAAATTCAGCCCATAAGAGCCAGCACCAATAGATATAAGAACAGCACCATCCCATCTATTGTTAAAATAATAAACAACTCCTGATTTATGTACTGTACAGCCCTGTAAATGTATTCAACGCATATCATTATGTCTAAATCAAATGTAAGTCTGTATATTTTCAGCCACCGACTGCAACTCTATTAATAAACCGTTTATTATTATTAGTAGTATTATTATTATTATTTTACCCACACACACACACCTCCAGTAAACATAAGAGTCAAGAATATTTGCTATTTTTTCTACATAGTGTCCTATTTTCAGCAGCTATTATTCACAGCTATTCCTTCACAGTAACAAGCTTCGTGTCTCTCAGGTGTACTTAATTAGACCACATGTGTTAATTAGTACAGGTATGTTCCTTCCTGAGAGACCGACTCACCTGGATCACTAGAGATATTATTGGT